TAGAAATAGACTATGCCAGTGGCAAAACCCATTACAAAAGGTAGAGTGGGCTCTGGGGGAGGACTGGTGGCATGATCTTGATCATGACTTTTGCACCCCTGTGTAACAAGCACAGGGAGCTCTATCTTCTATGGTTGGCTCTGTAGTCAGTAGGCTAGTTGGAAAGCACAGGGGCTGAGATTTTGGGGGACAAATAATTGATTTCATTGAATTCATTCAGGTCATAAAGATCTCTTTTTGCAAAAAATAGCAAAGGCTATTTTATTTTCTGACTCAACAGATGTAGAAGAGAGAAATTACTGGTGGCTATTTCCAAATAGCTCCCTCCTCAGGGGAAAGTAATAGAACCTGGAGAAAGTGAGAGTCCTAAGCTCAGGATGTGCCCTTTTAACCACACCATAATCACCTGCATGTGTCCTCTCCTGCCCCTCTTAGTCTGATTTCTTCTCACACAGCAGGCCCTTCCCACCCTTCCCACCCTCTCAACCTGCTCAGCCTGCTCCGTTAGCCACAGGCTATTTGCTGTTGTAGTTACTGCCAACTGGGCTGGTGGAATGCCAGGCCTGGAGGAAGTAGAGGGTCCTGGCATGAGCATGGACTGTGCATCCCACAGGTCAGCTCCTGCTCCTCCCACAAGGCTACAGGTTTTTGTCTTAGGCAGCTCAGGTTGCTGTAACAAGAACGCCATAGACTGGGTGCTTAAAAAAACAGATGTATACCTCACGGTTCTGGAGGCTGGCAAGCCTGAGACAGGGCACTAGCACAGACAGGCTCTGATGAGAGTCTTCTTTCTGATTTCCTCCCATGGAGTGGGGGAGGGGTGGGCGAAGCCAGGTCTTTCCTATCTCTTCTTATAAGGCATTAATTTCATTATGAGGACTCCACACTTTTGACCTAATCACCTCCCAAACTTGCATCTCTACATACCATCACATAGGAGACTGGAGTTTCAACACGATTTTTGGAAAACACAACATTTATTCCATAATAACCTCCATTAAAAGTGGTATGACATTAGAGGTCACTGTGGGTCTGCCAGGTACCTGGTTAGCAAAAGGTGTTACATATTGTGACCTGGGCACGTCCTCCCATATGGTAGAAAGGTGGCAGGGAAGGAAATGGAAGGCCACAGAGTCCTTTAAAACTAGGTTTGAAGCAGCTTGTTCAGAACATTCTAAAAACCTCTGGGCTTTTGTTTACTTGGATCAAAGGAAGAAAAACAGGTCTTGCCTTACAACTGTACAACATAACAAACCTTGAGATAGACAAATCTCATAGTGATTGTATCTCCAGGAGCAGAGAGGCCTGATTGAGGCTTTCAAGCAGAAGCCTATGCAAGATCCACTGGACAGGGCAGCAGCCTGCTTCACAGGCTGCAGAGTCTCCCAGGATTGGCTTCACTATACAGGGTTGCTATTCCTACCCAAGGATGGACCTCTTGGCCTCCTCTTGATCCCAGCATGATGTACTATAGGATGTAGAAGCCCTGGCCTGACCTTCAGAGCCCTGGTTTAAGCTTAAGTCCAAAGGAAGGTTGTAGAGAGTGAGTTTGTCCTTTAGGTGAAGGGAAGCATGGGCACTGACTCCCTTACACTGACCTCTCTCTTCTTAGGTTTTTAGGTTCCAGCCTGAGGATATGGCAATTCTGTCTTCCTTTGAGTTGATTCCTGTTGCTAGTGACCAGATCACAGTTGTAGCTACAGAAAAGGTAAGAGGAATTCATGGCTATGTTTTTCTCACAGAATTAGGAAAGGCCTTATAGGAAGGAAAAAGCTCAGCTGCTGGGGTCTAGGAAAGATGAACCTGAGGTGGTGGGGCTAGGGAATGTGAAGCCAGGGAGTCACGTAGCTGACACAGGTGAGCCCTAGGGGATGAAACTGTGGAAGTCAAACCTGAGAAAATAGGGGCCAAAGTGACTTGAGCACAAAGGCTGGCGCCTAGAAGACAGGTGAAACCCATTACTCTCTCTGTTAGTTTGGGGATAGCCTGTTAGGTGTGATGTGTGCACACTTGTCTTTGAGAATCTTTAGCTTCACCTCTGCAGCTACCAAGGAGCAAGCATGTGCCTTCTCCATGACCTTGCTCAAGCGCTGGCAGAGTGGGAATCAGGAAACAGCGCTGCGCACTTGCCCTATAGGTGCGAATCCTGTAAATCTTGTGGACATTGACCAGGCTCTGCGATTTGTAAGTGGATTACCCGAATGTCCCCAGTAGGGGGCTTTGAATGATTTCCCTTTCGGAAAGTCACCAAAGAAAATGTGGCACAGGTTTGCGCTCTCTTTTGGGTGGAACTTACGGGAGTAAAGTCTGGAAAAGACGAGACAGTGAAATAAAATCGCCCACACACATACCCCACTACAGACTGGCTGTGAATGCAGGTTGGGCGGAGACTAGCTACCGAAGTTAGGCAGGTTGTAGGCCAGAAGTGAAAGCTCGGGAATGCAGGGGCGACTGCTTCCTATCTCAGCGGAGCTGTAGAAGGAGGGGATGGGCAGCTCAGATCACCAACAGGCACGCTGTTGTCTTCTCATTTCCACTGTTCAGCTTTTGCAGGGCTTTTATATGACTCCAATTCATGTTCTTCCTGTTCATCCTCTTGCTATAACAAGAGTAAGATATGCAAAACCCATCGGACTAACTTGCTTACTTATTTCTTGGGAGGAATCAGATAAATTAGAGCAGTGATTTACAAACGTTTGCATTACACTCACAGTAAGAAATTTTGAAAACTGAATGGCATTCATTCTACTTGCTTATGGGCATGCTGAGGTTCACTTCTAAGCATATGTGGAAGAATTGAGTGTTTAGGTCTGGTTTGCCAAATTTAATCCCTGCCCACAACAGCTACCGTCCCATCAGCGGAGATTCTCCTCTTCTTACATCCTGGGTTCCAGAGAGTGTACCTTTCACCTTCCATATTGAGGTAGACTACAGCCTCAGCATGTGTCTTGACCCTCCTGGGTTATGAGACAAGGTCTTTGTTTTTGTTTTCGGTGCTGGGGATGGAACCTAGGAACTTGGCAAGCTATACTCCCAGCCCCAGACAAGAATTTGCTCCTAAACTTGGCTTTTGCAGGGGAACAGACTGATACAAAGACTGCTGTTTCAGTGCAGGTGAGGTTCAAGAAGCTAAGAGAAAGGAGAAAAGACAAGAGATCAATCGGCTCTGGAAACCAGGACCTCAGAGTTCTCTTGTCCCTCCATTCCACTCTACTTTAGAGAAGGGATTGATCCAGTATTTGGGGCAGGAACTCATTCAGCAGGAGGAAAGGGAGAAACAAGAGACCAGATTTACTCTGGAAAATCTTTGCCACTTTAGGCAAGTGCAGTAGACTGTGACATAGGAGGGGACTTAGTGATGGCACTCAGAAGCACCAACATGCCTTAAACCTTGACAGCTTTATCACAGACACAAGGACATCGTTTTAGAATGCATAGCACCCAAGTCTGGCATCCTATGATCTATCCTTCATCCTGGAAAGAGTCACTTCAGTCAAGAGGACCATCCTCAGGGATCATATTACTGTTCTCAATGTTCACTTTAGGTTTGCCTTGAAGGATCTACTACCCTGGTTAAGCCAGAAACACAGCTTGCACTTGAAACAGTAGAAAGAATGTTCAGCCTTGGACAGAATTTATATAGCATGCCAGGGGTACTGTGCCCCATGTTATGTACCTCTGTATGTGATGTGCACTTTCTTCCCCACAGTGGCTTCCCTGTGGTCTGTTTTACAGCTTCCTTGATATTAAGTACTCTGAACATGGAAAATTTCCAATTCTTAAAAAATCTACATATGTTTGATATGCTTTTCATTATTGAGACAGGAAATCTTAAGCGGATGCTTAATAATGGATAAGGCCATATCTTAGCATCAACCTTGGCTTATGCGAATTGACATTATCGAGTATCACAGCCTTTTCATTAAAATGATCAATGAATAATGTATCAACTTAGTTTAAACCTTCAGATATATTTTCAGACAGAAATATTCCAAGAATGCAAGTCAGGTATATTTCTCAGATAAATAAAAGTCGGGGCATTGCGAACAGGGAAATTCCCTGTTCTCAGGTTTCCTGAGGTTGAAATCCAGCGCGCGCGTCATTAATCATTCATTGGGGTCCGTCCTTCAGTCAATGGCAGCTCTGAGTAAGCTGAAGCGAGCCTTTAGTTAATCCTTCCTGCCAAGGGGATCTTGGGGCGAGAGAGGACAACTGGGCAGCCAGTCACTTGTGTTGGTGCCCAAATCCAATACCCCTACCCTGGGTCTGAGGGCTCGCCCTCGCGCGCGCGCGTGTAACAGCACAACTACCCATCAGAACACAGTCCCAGAAGTAAAAACAAATTAAGCATAATGTTCAGCTGCGATCAAGAGTTTGTAACCGGAAAGCAGCTCAAGTCCTAGCTTAATGATCCAGGGTGGCTTTTCAAATGCTGAATCAACCCATTCCTTAGCTCTTTAATGAATCAGTAACCAGCATTTTCTCCCAACCGCGCCACACCAAAAGCCTTTCCAAGTTGTGCTGCGAATCCCTGTTGGGTTCCCGCGGAAATCACTTGAAGCTGTCCGAAGGGTCCCCCGGGGAGGGGCAATCTATTGGGGTCTGCTAGGCAAAGGTGAGAAACCTGAAATTCGGGTCGCGTGTAGGCAAGAGTGTCTTGCTGGGACCCGAGTGCGCTAGAGACGTGGAAGAGAACGAAAACCCATTTCCACGTTTCGACCCTTGGCTCCCGTCGGTGTCCCTGAAGGACTCAACTGCTGTCGCGGAGCTGAATCCTGCGCGGCGTTGGCCCCAGTTGCGGGGGGGCTGTGAGGCGCATGAGAACTGCTGGGGTTCTCGGCCCTGGTGTGGGCGCACCCAGCGTCCGGGGTGCAGCTTCTCTCAGCCTGGCTTCTCCTCCCACTCACTCTCTCCCATCTCCTCCCTCCTTCAACCCCCGCCCCCGGGACGGCTAGGCTCCCTCCCCGCACCGGCCAGTGAGTACACAAAGCGGCGGGTGAGGGGAAGCTTCGCAGGCGTGCACAGAGCAGTGAGATCACTGGCGTTATAAATATCCCGGTGCCAGCGCCGAGATCCGCTCCGGTGGCCTCTCTCTCTCCCCCCACTCCCTCTCTCTTCCCCGAGGCTATGTCCACCCCGTGCGGCGAGGGGGACAGCGCCAGAGGCACGCAGCCGCGCGGGGGCTACAGAGCCCAGGAGCAGCCCAACAAGATGCACTTAGGACCCCCGCGACTGGAAGAATGAGCTTGTCCTTCCTCTTCCTCCTCTTCCTCAGCCACCTGATCCTCAGTGCTTGGGCTCACGGGGAGAAGCATCTTGCCCCCAAAGGGCAATCCGGACCCGCTGCCACTGATAGGAACCCGGGAGACTCCGGCAGCCGCCAGAGCACTAGTGGCACGACGTCTTCCAGGTCTTTTCCTGCCTCTTCTTCCTCCCCCGCGGCTTCTCTGGGCAACCAAGGAAGCGGCTTGGAGCAGAGCAGTTTCCAGTGGAGCCCCTCGGGGCGCCGGACTGGCAGTCTCTACTGCAGAGTGGGCATTGGTTTTCATCTGCAGATCTACCCGGATGGCAAAGTCAATGGCTCCCACGAAGCCAATATGTTAAGTAAGTTGCTTGATCGCCTACAGCACATGTACTAGGCGGGCTATGGGAGGTTCCAGAGGGACAACCAGTATTCTTTGGGCCACGGGAGCACCTTCTGGAGCCCCATCTCCTGGTACGCAGCTGGTCCTGAGAACAGCCGGGTGGGTTGGGTGTACGTGCATCTACAAGGCACATTCATACGCACTCCTCTCCTGGGCTGGGCATGAGGAATGGCGATTCCTGAGGTGAAGGTTACCCAGAGACGGGTGCCCAGACAGGCACCTTGTTTCCAGGATGCTGGGCCCCCAAGATGATCTTCCGGCCATGCCTTCATAAAATCCCCCCAAATTTCTTACTTTTCCGTGTTCAATTTCTCTTTACTTTCTGCTTATGAACTATGTTGGTATTTTTCATTAGGCATCAAAGTGCATTGCTTTTCCCTGTACATAGCTGAAGTTAATTTTTTTACAGGAATCAAATCTCAAATACTTCCCTTCTCCAGCCATAACCATAAATCCCGAATTAATATAGTATATGTTTATATTGCACATATGTATATACATAGGTACATGTATATGTGCATAGAAATATATATGGAAAGAGGCAGGGGGAGGGCAGAGATTTTGCTATCTGGAAAACTGGACACGTTTGGAGAGGGAGATGTGATGGACATTGCAAGTATTAACTCCAGTGATGTTTAACAGTTTCGTGTCTTGGGACCATGACAATATCTCTTTAGAAGTGTGGACATCCTTGGTCTTGAAGGACATTTAGGGGAAAGTATTTTAAAAGAAACAGAGAGGTTCCATTTGTTGTGGGTACAAATTGTGCAGGATTTTTTTTTAAATCAAGTTCTTAATTTTCTTTATAAGTTTTTTTCATTAGTATTCTCTTTCTTCCTCCTTTCTTATCTATTCTTCCCTTGCACTCCATCTGAGTTTCCAGACCATCACAGCCACTCCACGTATTCCCCTCCCCGCTTCTAGGCAACTAAGAGAAGAGGTGATTTGGGGCTGTGCGGGGTAGGGGGGTGGATTAGAGCAATCCTCTGCGAGGCTTTTCCATGGTAGGTTCCAATCGCTTTTCCAGAGGGGGTTTGTTCAGCAGAAAAATCCATTACTGTGGCCTCTGAGATATCCAGGAAGAGCTGAAAAGTGACCAGGAGATAGCGCTGCCTACTCACCTGGCCCTGGAGTCAGTCGGTTACTCTCAGGTGTATCTGACTTGTTCTGCCTCAGACCTAAGACCCCACAGGCCAGTAGACTCCTCAGGCTGTGGAGGAGCGCAGGCTTCACTACCGGGCTGACAATGTGGCAGGGGCCTGTGTAGCAGGATTGGAAGCGCACATATCAGCGGGTGGCTGGTTGAAAAGCCTCCTCCGGTGGGTTTTAGAGGGCCCGGTGTAAAACCTGGAGGTTTACTCCAGGACAGGAGCGGTTCCACGCTTGACTCCTGAACCTCTTTAATCCTTTGGGGTGGACTCCAGCTGACTGCAGCGCACGTGGTGAGATGTCTGGAGCACCTAGTCCAGAGGGCTCTACCCACACATCCCAGGTAATCCAGCACGCTTCTCAGAGGAGCCTATGTTCATATTTTAGAGTTCATTTTACTCTGATCAAATAACTCCCACTTTTGGTGATAAAGGGTATCGTCTGTTGGGGTGAAGGCAAATTTTCTGAAATTTCAGGGGCAGCTAGAGTTATACCTGTTTTAGTATTTTTATTTATCCTTCTCATTTGGTCCAATTTGACTCTGTTTCATCAGACATCAGAGCTTATTCTCCACTTCCAGCAATCTTTCCTCCTCTTATTTATTTATTTAAACAGGAAAACTTTCTCTATTCCATTCTTCTTTCAGGTTATGCAGAAAATCAGCACCAGCAGGATAATCTTTGTGTGCTCAGGCGAAGACCCTCTACCTCCCAAATTAGCAGGCAGTAAGCAATAAGTTAGAGCCCAGGGAGCTTAAAAAAAATGTGTCTAGGGTGGATTTTGGTGTGCTAGGGATCTCTGAGAGTAACATTCATTCCCTAGATAATCACCCTATTCTCCTCAAAGACAAAACAGGAGTCAAAGATTTTTTTTTTTTTTTTTTTTTGCAGTTTAGGCCTTGCTAGTAGAGGAAAGTTGTGGGAAGGGAAATGAGAACAGATCAACAAAGGTAAAGAAATTACCACTACCTGTAATTTCCAAGGTATAATTCATTTTAAAATCCATGTCAAAAGTTACCTACAAAAGAGCAGGAATGTTTTCTAAACAGTTTCTAAATAAAACTTTAGATAACAATTCCTAATTTATGCCAGTTTTAAACAGTCTTTCAGAGTTTTAGTCTATGTCTTTCATATGACTTTCTTTCATTCACTATTCATTCATTTATGCACCCAATATGGTATGCCTACCTCACTAAGCAGGATGTTTTGGTTACTTTTGTGCAGTTTTGTTATTATTGTTTTGTTTTGCCTTCCATAGACTCTTCTCACAAAGGAAAGCACAACTTATACATTCATGTCCTAGTGATTGGCTGCTTTGTCATGGCAGGAATGTTAATCCTACTTTGTAAAATTTGCTACCATTGTTCAATTAAGAATGTATATAGGATGTCTCATGTTTTGTAGAATGGCAGGTAATTTGGAAATTTAAAGTGGGTCTCTGCCCTTACATAGCTGTGAAAGAGAAACAGCATCTTGCTAACTGCTGTTGATCATTTACCTCTTTGAAGGCAGCACTTGGTGGTTTCCTGATATTTATGTAAACTAAGGTGTTGGTCCTGAACTATTGTTTAGAACATAGGAAGAAACATTTGTCTAAGTCTCACAAGAGAGACTAAGCTGGGTCAAGGGCATACGGGGTACATCACTTTTCTTTATTATCCAATTCTATTGTCTGTGAGTTGGCAGTGACAGGAAAAAATTCTTTTTGCTATAAACCAATTACTTCAGGAAAAAAGCCAAAGTTTTAACATGAAACTTCATTTAACTGATTCTTTTAAATATAATAAAATTTGTTAGATGGAACATATGTTTCATAATTTTCATTTGATAATGAATACTTTTGCAAATTGTGAATATTTCCTAATTTAACTATCAGAAGCACTCTGTGGTTGTAGATTTTGAAACATAATTTCTTTAAGTGTATCGATTAATACAGTCTTAGTTTCTCTTATGAGATGATAATTCCAAGTTTTGAAGACAGGAAGTGGAATCAAACTTACTGTATAGAAACATTATTATAAGGAAATAATGGGAAAAGATGAAGAAAGACAAGACAAATGATAAGATGCAACCATTACACAGAAACACAAGGTTTGCTTTAATTTATATGTTTTCTTTTTTTTTATTTTTCTTTTTTTTATTGGTTGTTCAAAACATTACAAAGCTCTTGACATATCATATTTCATACATTTGATTCAAGTGGGTTTTGAACTCCCAATTTTACCCCAAATACAGATTGCAGAATCACATTGGTTGCACATCCACATTTTTACATAATGCCCTATTAGTAACTGTTGTATTCTGCTACCTTTCCTATCCTCTACTATCTCCCCTCCCCTCCCCTCCCATCTTCTCTCTCTACCCCATCTACTGTAATTCATTTCTCTCCTTGTTTATTTTCCCATTCTAATTTATATGTTTTCAAATTTAGTTTTAATACAGTGCTTCTGTTGACTTCTCTTAGGTCACTGAAGAATAAGAAATCAATACAGAAATGAAAAGTTTAAAGCTGGAGCCACACAAAACCAAAGCAATCACATAAAATATGAAAATTATAATAACATATTTTGACTAATTGAACCCTCAATTTTACTGACTTTTTAAAAAATCTGAATTTACTATCAATTTTGGTGTTATGTAGAGTCATACAAACTAGAGGGTCAGTCAAGCCTAGATAAACCAGAATCTGTATTATCTGTGCAGAAAAACTCAAGTAGAGATTTTGTTACAAATTTAATCAATAAAGACTACTAAATTGAATATTTCAAGATTCACATTGATAACTTTGCACAAAATATCTGTTGCTGTAAGGATACAAGTAGAGAAACTTCAGTTTTAAATATTTTTCCTTGGGAATTTTCTGATGGGTTGTTGAAAGCTTCTGAATACATGGGATGAGATACCTAAGTTTTTCTATGTTTTATTCATCAACTCTAATACTTGTATCTGCTCAATACAGCACTATTATATTAAAAAATCTATAGAGGACTAAGTTTAAAAATCTAGATAGGTGTTTTCTTATTGAAGTAAACTTACTTCTTTAGGAATAACTATTCCTGTAGGTAAGTGGATTAAACTGTGAGCATCACCTGAGAGATACCAAGAAATTCTTGCTTTCTTCAACCTGGATGTCAACCATGAAATTCTACCAAAAGAGACTACCTCCTTCTTTTAAGCATTGCCCTCTTCTTTTAATACACTTAAATAGGAACATCATAGTATAAAAATAACACACCGTCTACTAGTATTTTAATGTGAGATAATTTATATTGAGCATCTCCCCACACCATAGGAGTGGGCTACAATAACAGAAGAGTGAGTACTAAAACATGTGTCCCTCCATGAGCACAAAAGGAGTTCTATCAAAAGAAAAAGAGAGGTAGCCAGTGGTCAAAGAAGACAATTAAATGTAGCAGACACTCATTGACTATCTATGATCTGCGACACAAGTTTTGTTTCCCACAATTTTGTGTAAGGATAAAGTTTTGGCATCCATAAGTTTCCATCAAATTTATGATCACAAACTCCCAATGACAAGGGTCTGGAAATCACTGAAATATTTTTAAAAAAGGTCAATGTTAGAGAAATGTTTCCTGGGATTTACCTACATGTGATTTAATGCAGATGGCTATAAAATATGTAGACTTCTTTAATAAGTTACTGAGATTTGGCATAGTAAAATAGATAAAATAGGCTTGTGACCTCTTGGGGTAGGGGAGCAAGAATTTAAGGTGTATGTGATGCCTGTAGAATTTGTTCCAGTATTCAAGAAAATAAGGCATTGTAAACTCACTGCTGACATTAATGTGGAAATGATAATCTTAACATGTCCCCAATGTTAGTCCTTAATTACACTGAAATTTAAAAGGTCAAAACCAAAGTTGCCTGTTTGAAAAACAATTCTTTCATCTAATTTCATCTTTTCTCTTTCTTTTCTTCTTCATTATATTGAATAGAATGGTATATGTGAAGGTAAAAATATAATTTTATTTTTTTAAAATATTATTTTAGTTGTAGATGGACACAATATCTTTATTTTGTTTATTTATTTTTATGTGGTGCTGAGGATTGAACCCAGTGCCTCACTCATACGAGGCAAGCGCTCTACCATTGAGCCACAGCCCTCGCCCCTAAATATAATTTTCTTAAAATCATAAAATCTTTCCATTCTTAGGTAACACCTCATTTTGTAAGAAAATAAACTGTGCAATATGTAATAAAATAATAACTTTCACAAATATTGTTTTATCTTCCCCATATTTAAAATTCATTGCAATGCAAAATGTGCATAACATGCATACAGAATGTATTCTGTGTTGAGATACAAGTTAAATGAGTCAAAATGGGTCTTTCTTAAATAATAGCGTATACTAGCTGTCAGAAAGCAATAGTTTACTTAGGCAAAGCAGTAGTATTTTTATTCAGTAAATATTTATAAAGTTCTTTTATCTCAACATCTTTAAAGTTAGGCTTCAAACTCATATTGTACTGAAAATTTTATCTTTAATACTAACATACATTTTTTATTAATATACAATCAGTTTGTATTTAACAAACCATGTAATATCACAGAGAATGGAATCAAGAACATCTAACACTCCAAAACCTTGAGTAAATTGGGAGAAACACAACCAAGTCTCTTTCTCTAACAACTCCAAATTGTCTCTTTTGTATTTATCACCCTACATATTTGATTTCTCATGTTTTCCCTTTCTTGTTTTATTTTAGTACTCACAAGCAGGTCCCCAACAATAACTAATGCATTAATGATGTTTTTTAATATCATTCTGTAATTCTGATAGAAATAAAACTTTATAGCAGATGTTTCAGTTACATTTTAGTAATAATATTAAAACATATTGCATCTCTGTAAGTTAACTCTGTAAAGTTAAACATACTACTTTTGCACTACATGTTTACTAAAGCAGTATATATATATATATATATATATATATATATATATATATTTATGTATACTGCTATCCACGTAGTTTATAAATTTACCTTTATCAAGCATTTTCTGTGCTTTGCTACTATTCAATAAAATGACAATGTTTCTAAACCTTTGAGTATGTAGTTCAGTCCAATAATTTTTATAGAAAAATCTATTATAAATAGATGAAAACATTTTGAAGGAAAGAATGTATGGGAAAAAAGTTTCTTTAATGGTTTCTTTCTAAAAGCAAAAGTACTTCCTTCAAAACGGTTTTGTGTTTTTCTATTTGTATATATTAAAAGAAACACTAATACATCAGCAGCTTCAGTTTTTCTGAGCTGTGTTTTATTTCCTTTGGTCTGAAAATGTTTATAACAAAAATAGTTTTTCAGGTATTCCCTTTTCCTGATGAGCTTTCTTTTTTTTTTTCTGTGTTTATTTTTTTATTTTTTTTAATTTATTTTTTATTGATTGTTCAAAACATTATAAAGCTCTTGACATATCATATTTCATACATTAGATTCAAGTTGGTTATGAACTCCCAATTTTACCCCAAATACAGATTGCAGAATCACATCGGTTACACATCCACATTTTTACATAATGCCCTATTAGTAACTGTTGTATTCTGCTACCTTTCCTATCCTCTACTATCCCCCCTCCCTCCCCTCCCATCTTCTCTCTCTACCCCATCTACTGTAATTCATTTCTCTCCTTGTTTATTTTCCCATTCCCCTCACAACCTCTTATATGTAATTTTGTATAACAATGAGGGTCTCCCTCCATTACCATGCAATTTCCCTTTTCTCTCCCTTTCCATCCCACCTCATGTGTCTGTTTAATGTTAATCTTTTCTTCCTGCTCTTCCTCCCTGCTCTGTTCTTAGTTGCTCTCATTATATCAAAGAAGACATTTGGTATTTGTTTTTTAGGGATTGGCTAGCTTCACTAAGCATAATCTGCTTTCTAATCAAATATTTTAAAGAAACCAAATTGAATAAATAAGCAGCAGTATTTGTTACAATTAGAGGTGCTCAGCTTCCAATGTGCAATGTATTTGCTCAATAAATTTTTTCATATGAATGTGCTTATTTTCCTTCTTGTAAATTCAGTAATTTTACATGTACTTCAAATACTCCAGAGAAAGACTGCTATTGCAAGAAATCAGGTAAACTTTTCTACTTAGCAGAGTTTTATGGTTATCCTAAATAAATATGTATGCTTGGAACAGTACAGACTGGAGTGTTGAGGTGTTGTTTCCTCTCTTCTTCCTTGCTTTATTCTTTTTTTTTTTCTTTTCCTTTGTTCTTCTCTAGGATAGATCTTTTTCTAGCTCTAGTGGACTACATCATTTCAGTCTTTTTTTTTTCTCTGCAATTTGATGTAGGTAACCAACATAAACATTATGTTTTTCTAATCTCTTTAATACATTATATGTGAGTTTATGATAAATAGGTAGCCTTTTCAATTGTATGCATATTATAGGTTTCATCTTTTTAAAATACTCTTGTGAACTGTGATGAGCAATTCTTTTGACTCAGTGAGTGTGGACTTAGAAAGTATTGTAGCAGAGAGAGTGACATTGACTTGATAATGCTAGATATGAAATACAAAATATAAATAATAATGTAATAAAATATCTCATTAATTTTTTTCAGGAAATGATTCAAGTACAAGATGTTTAAAAACATAGTCCATAAAACATGTGTTAAGCCAATGTTATTCATAACGTTTTCAGTATCTTGTTATGTGTAGTCTTTAAATGAGCTACTTGCTAAATAATTGAATACTGTATATATTTATTTACACTCAAATTGTGATGATCAGAGAAGAAGGATTTATTTTTTTATAAATATTGTTTTCCAGGCTTTCCAATGGTTTATATTAATTTTGAGAGCACTTTATGACTTTAATGTTAAAAATAGCATGTTATCTTTGATGGAAAAATAATGGATAAGAATTATTTTTTAAAATATTTACCAAACGTGCCTTTCTGATTCTTTTAGAACCTGAAAAGATTCTATTGCCAAACATAGTCTACTAAAAGCAGTTTGCATTTGGAAAAAAGAAAAAGGATTACTGATGATGCAAAATCAGATTTTTTGAATCTTGAAATTAATTATTTTAAACGAATACTTGAATGATAGCTGTTTTTTCCATATTTTTATTGGTGCATGATAATCATAAACTAGCTGTTTTTTTAAACAAAGTGAATGTCACAAAAATAAGAATGTTAAATACTAAATTCTTTTTTTTAACAGCAGTAATAAAGAATGGCAAGAATCTATGTAGAAATTTAATTCTTCGCAATGATATATAGAAGAGTCTGTGTTTTATTTTGGGATTTCTGTCATCCTAGGTATTTTGGAAATATTTGCTGTGTCTCAGGGGATTGTAGGAATACGAGGAGTTTTCAGCAACAAATTTTTAGCGATGTCAAAAAAAGGAAAACTCCATGCAAGTGTAAGTAGAACCACTTTATACTTGTTCAAGGTGTTATGGAGATTTTACATTTGTAACAAAGAATCAATTGATCTTCCAAATTGGTAGAAAAGACAAATGCCTTGCTTAGAGTATTGGTTTTTGGTAAAATTATACGTACATAAAACCAAGAGAATTCTATGTGGGTCTCTAATCATTTACTATTTTATTGACTTGAAAAGGTATTAGAGTCTATAAAAAGTTTTCAAGGTGAATGTATTTGGAAATAACTTTTTCAAAGTGGTTGCCATCTTTTATTTATAGAAGGGCCCAAATGTGGAGTAGTATTACAATACTGCATAACATTTAAAATTTTCATGTTTGTGGAGATGGTGGATGTTCAGTAAATGAATTTCTTGTTTAATCTTACAAACTATTTACAATGTTAAAAAATCGAATCTAAGTAGCATAACATATTTTCATATTAACAAGTAGGAAGGGAAGAAGCCGGTAATAAGAAGTCTTTAAACTTCCATGGAAATTTTTTATTTGATGAATTTGAGGAATTTTTCCTTGTATTTTGTCACATCAAATATAATGACTTCTTAATGCTATAAAGACTAATTTTGCACTTTAAAAATTGCTTCACATCACTTACAAGGTTTGGCATCAATTTATAAATTATTTATTTTTTTGCTTTGTTATTAAAACACCCTTCACATGGGGAATATTAAAACATTTTAAAGGTAATAAAATACATGTAGCTTAGCTTTCCCACTCTGATTCTGTTTATTTATATTACTATGTATACATGGCACTTAAAAATGATTTATGTTTTCTCTGTGGTATACTAACTTTTTTCACATTAAATAATTTTAAAAATTTTTCTTTGAAATTAGTTCTTTAGCTCATATTCTTTTTAATTCTTAATAAATGAATTGTTGAAATATTACCTTTCCTATTTTCAAAGTGTATGGAACTTTTAGTTGAATGCAGCTAATTGAAAATTACTATTTATTATTTTTATTTTATGTAGACTTTTGAGAGTTGCACTTTGTTAAATGTGTAAGACCTTTATAATTTTTCTTTCCTTTAGATAAAGGTGATTTATTAATAATTTTGAAGGATTCTCTAGAGTTGGAGCAATTTCTATAGTCACTTCAGGTTTAAATGAATAATACATATAAAGTACTTAGAACAGTGTTTGTATATTGGTATTATTGTGTTGAATAAACACTACCTATTAGTATATGTAATAAACTAAAAGTAGTATAAATATAATAAACTACTAAAATCTTAGCTTATTAAGATACATAGAAAACCCCTTTGTTTCAAACTTTTTAATAATTCATTGTAAGAATTATAAAATTATTTACCTATTTCATATTCTGAACTCATTATTATGCTCTAGCAAGCTATAATATAGTATTTATAAAATAATTGTTCTGATGGAGCAATTAAAAATCTTTGATTTTTGTATTTATGTATTTTAAGGGACAAAATTCTGCATTACTGTGGAAAAAGACAAACATTTCATTTTATTAAAAAATAACATTTGATTTTTAAAAATCCACATACAGATTTTGAAAATAATGATTAAATGCCTCAGGACAGAGTAACTTCTCCCCAGACTACTTTAAGGTTGTAAAAGATTGAAACACCTTCAAAATCTAAGCATCAGAATAATATATGATGTACATAAGGAAATTTTCTCTCATTGGTTTGTTGGTTATGCATGAAAATTTTAACTTTGAAAATATTCTGATTTATGCACATTTATACATGCAAAAAATAGATTCAACTTGGACCAGCTTAAGGATAATTGCCACAGAAAGCAAAGTATTATAAATGGATGCCAATTAGAAAGGTCAAACTGAGAGGTTAGGATACATGATTCCTCTGTCAAATGCAAGTAACAAATTTCTAGAAATTTGACCCAAATGTCTAAGGATGACTGGTGGAAATAATGCAGATAATGCAAAAACAGCATCTGTTATTCTTTTTCATCTTGGCAGGCTAAAGTTATTTCATGGAATAATGACTTTTAAACAGTACAAAGCAAGTCTTGCTCTTGTCACTCACTGAAGCTCTTTGATATAAAAGTCATTCTGATGACTTTGAGCTGAATTGTAGATAAAAAAATTAAGCCCTGTGATTATGTGGATTCTTTTTAAACCAATTGTTCAATCCCACTTTCTCTTATCTGAGCTTTTATTAGCACTTTCTCTCTATATGGAAACCTAATTAAATTATAAAGTGATTTATTTTTAAAGAAGTTGAATTCAGAAATAGCATTAATCCTAGCAATTATCACTTTTATGCCCAGCTTTCCTGTTTTCAGCTTCTAGGTAATAAACATGTTTAAAAAATTGTTTTCATAACTTAAATATGATTATTTGATGGAGTTTTGATTTTTATAAAATCACATCATCATCCTAAAGGCCAACAACTCATACTTTTAGGATTAGAAGTATAATTTGTGAGTTACTTTAAACTAATAATTGTGCAGAAGTATTTTAAAAGTTACCTTTAAATTTCTATCCACAAAGTAAATGTAGAGAGTAAGTGTAGAAATGTAAAATATTCATATAATCCTGGGGAAAGTAGTCCCCCACTGCACTGGGAAATATTCATGGATAGTTGTAGATTTTCAATTTGGTTTTTATAGTAACAATCAGAGTATTAAAAATTAGTTACCAGGCAGGGATAATGGACTTTCAGAGTCCTGTAAAAGCTCTTTCACTCACATTATCTCATTAGATAATGAGGTGAGGAAAGAACCTGAGATGTTAAATTATTTTCCTAAGGTCACACAGTTAACAAGTTATTGAACCAGAACTATATCCTCTTACAATGTTCTGTCTCTTTTTAAACACTGTAGTGCTTGGAATATAAAAGTTAGCTTGAAATAAGACATTACATTTTGGAACCAATTGCATTGTTTTCATGTATTTACAAGGATTAGTAAGTGCATGGCTTAATAATATTTTCACATAACCTATAACAAATGAATACTATGGCATATCCTTGGAATATTTATAGTATTTTTAAAATACTAAACAAGTAAATAATTTTTGGATATGTAAAGTTGCACATTTTCTTCTAGCTCTCTCTTTCTGATTCCAAACACTTTTATTGTACTGACTTCCCTCCATCTCTGCCCCCCTTTACGTCTCTCTTCCAGAGAGGAAGAGATGTGTCTGCCACAGAACGTATCAGAGACTTTTACAAATGTCGGTTATCTAATGTGATGATGTGTGGCTTAGGGGAACCCTCTCAGTTTGAACTTTCAAAACAGAAAAGATCAGTTTTGTCCACAGAAATCTTTTAGTAAGTGCTTCATCTATCATCAGTGGACCCAAAGATGTCCAACTGAAATAGCCCAGAGTGAGTAGATTTAGGCAACATGGATGCGGATTTCATTTTTATGCTGAGTTTTTAAATTCTGTAAGAGAAATTTCATTTGAAATTTCTGGCTGGCTGTTCTTTCGAGTCTCTCATTCACATCTAACTTTCCTTAAAACTTTTGGTTTACTCTAAATATACAACACAGTCAAATTCCTACCATGCAGGTATTTTCAGCATTCTTTACAGGATGAAGGTGTATGGTCTTCACCTTGTCAAAATGTGTCAGGAATCATGGCGAGTAGGAGGAGATAATTGCTTCCCAGAGAGCCATGAGGGTTAGTCAGAGCCATCACTGTGGCCTCTGCTCTTTGTCTCAACACTTTCCTATGCTGAGGCACTTTCTGAGTCTGTCATTCTCTGTCTGTTTCTGCTCTCCCTCAGGTTTGGGATATTTACCGCAAAGACCCCTTAGAGAATCTTTCTAGATTCTTCTGTGAATGTGGTTAGATCACCAAGGCTGAACCCTGCTCCACTGCCTTACTGTGAAGAATAAGCACAAGGGTGCTTATTCTTTCTATTGCTTGGCTTTATCAACCAATAATGGTAGGAAAATTACAGTAGCAATCTATGGGATGATTAAGTGAAATGAGATAATACATATAGAACGCTGAGAGTAGTGCTGGACAAGTGTTCAGGGCTTAAAAGTTTAAACAGAACTTCCTGGCAGCTGGTGGACAATCTTCAGTCTCTTTCTTTCGGATTTTGAGGTCAGTTATTTAGAGAAGACCCCAGTCCTATTTATCATGGAAGTTATTCCCCTTGTATCTAGACTTTTTGTGCATACAGTGAATCCTTATCTATCTACTGAGTTTTCCTTTTTCCAAGGAACCTAATTTGAAAGCAAATTCCCAAGTTTCTGCTCTTAAAAGGCGAGGATTTCCTAGGGTCATAATCTTGTAATTCTTAGTGTCCATCTTTTCTCCCCTGCCTCCGGCCCCTGCCAAAATGAAATCCTATGAAAGGTGGTTATCATGTATTCTTTGGCATTTTCGTAAATTATGTGTGATAGCTCACTGTCTATTGGGGGAAAACATGTCAGCTTATTTTAAAGATCCAGAGAGAAGCATGTGTTGGAATTATTTTTGTTTCGCAGGGTTTTAGGGGATCATGTTTGGAAGGAAAGCTAATTGCAGAGTTTACGAAACAGGCATGGAATGTATGCTTGATCAGCCCTGAGCAAGGACTAGAACATCCTCCTTTCCTGGTTTCAGAGGGTGCCAGCTGGCTTGCTAGGATGAGAATCTGGGCTGGACTTCCTGTGCTGGGGGCAGAGTGAGGAGGAGTCAGCAGCCCCTAAAGTTGGGCACATTTACTGGAAGGTGAAATGGAGGCTTGAGCAATACTTATCTTCATCCTTAAAAAAATAACCTAATAAGCTTCTCTCTTCCAGTCAAGACCATGAGCTTTATCAAGACCTTTGCCTATGGGCTGGGGTTGTAGCTCAGTGACAGAACACTTGACTCACATGCATGAGGCACTGGGTTCGATCCTCAGCAACACATAAAATAAATAAACTAAAAAAATAAAGATATTGTGTCCATCTACAACTAAATGTGGGTATATACATATATACACACACACACACGTGTGTGTGTGTGTGTGTGTGTGTGTGTATCTTCGCTTCCTTTAAATTT